TGAATGCATATGAAGATATTTAGTACAGATATCCAGAGATCTCTATTTGGTGTATCATTGGTGTTTGCAAAGAAGACATTTTCTCATTTTTATAATAAATGAATCATTGTGTTATTGGTGAAATTAGATTGCAGTGAAGCCTACTGTAGCCAGATTTGAGATTGAATTACTATGAGAGTTAGAGACATTTATTGACACTGCAGCTCTTACTCCTATTTCATTGTTTTCAGATATCAGTGAGCAATCAAATTCTAAAAATTATTCTTACCTGAACTAAGACAGTCTTTGGGTGTCCTCGATTATTTGTGGACTGCTTTATCAATTAGATTGAATTTCAGCAATTGCTGATGACATCTATATTCTAGCCTGCTCATCAGACCCTGGTGTTCAATCAAGTTAATTTCATTTCAAATTAGCCACCCTGTTGAATTTCAAAGAGGATACAAGGAATTTGCCCTTCAGGTAATCGAACAAGCTGGGATGATACAGAAGCAGACTTAATGAAGTAGGCACAGATAAAGTACTGACAAATAGTCGTGTTAATTCATGTATCAATCCAACCAGTTTTAAGTCCATTGAAGAGGGTGAGGCACACAAGAGTCTGTATAAGTTTACCTAAGAAATTATGTGTCCACTAGAAGGGGCGTTCACTAAACTCTGTATTATTTGGGTTGGCATGCAGATTGCTTTTTTATCCCTTTCAATGCATTGGGCCTAAAGTTCTCTTTATAATGAATTAGGAAATGGACTTCAGATGTTTCATACAGTATATCACTTTCCTGCACTTTGTTTACTTTCTTCTCTGAAACATAATGTACATCTTTTTCCTGTGGGTTTTCAGAGGAATGGGGTATGAACAAAGAAAATTAAATAAATATAAGAGGCCACATTTAATCACTGAATTGATTTAAATTAATTTATTTATTTTAAACCAGTATACTCCCAAGAACATTTAGCAACTGAAATATGTTTTGCTAATAAACATAGTCAGGTTTTTTTTCTGATTTTCTTCATTTAGAACATTTTTTGTCAGCATGCACTCCTCACTCAAAACTTTGTCACAGGACTATGTCTACTAAATATATTAGATTACATCTGGGATTCTAAACAGTGGATGTTCCCATGTGACTATGTGTTAAATGTCTCAGGCTTTAGGAGATGTAGGATAAGAAACTCAAAATATGCCATTTGCCAAGTTTGACTGGCATCACCAAGAGGAAGGAAAACAATAGTCTGTCAGCTTCATAGATTGAGTAGGGCAAGGCCAAATAATTTTTAGTTTCCTGAGATTTGTCAGATGTATTCTGGTCAGAGTATATTATCAGGAGTTGTGTCTTCCTTTCTGTTTGGTTTTTAATGCTATATTAACTGGACTATATATATGTAGAGGAGGTAATGGAGGTAGCAGGGACACGTGACAGGGAACAACAAATTTGGTTTAGGAGTGTGTGGGTCTGACGTTTTACGAAAGAAGATTTACGTAAATTAGTAATATAAAAGTGGCATGTTTAAAAGGGAAGACCAGAATCAGAACATACTGTTTACTAAGCTTCATAAGAAGCTTATGACCGATAATTGCAACTTCACAAAGTTCTTACTGGGAAAAATATTTTTTGGTAGCTGGTTTACTGACAATTCATTGCACAAACATGATAAAAGTACATTTGATGATAAACATTTGTCATCAACTGGACTGATCAACAAAGGGGTCTGCAATTAAACCATGCAGCATGTCGCCAATGTTGGAAGCAATACAAGCTTTACATCTGCAACACACCCCCTTTGCTGTGTTGTGGAATTCTGTTGCATTCTTCTTTTACTGCCTATACAGGTATGTGCCTGTTCACTGGTCTCTGAGCCCTAGATGACATGAGACATCTGAGCTTATCCCAGAAAGGTTCAATGGGGCTTAAGTGTGGTGACTAGGGATCCATGACATAAGTGTTACAGTCGAGGATGTGTATTATCCTGCTGGAATGTGTTGTCACAGCAGGATGATCCCCAAGGAAAGGCAGGAAGTTAGGTCCCAGGACTTCATTGATGTGGCACTGTGAAGTTAGATTGTCATCAAACACAAAAAGCTGCTGACTAGACAGTCATTCCTAGATCATCATACGTGGACCCATCAAGGTCTATTGTCATACTTGGTCCATTGTCATAACTGTTAGCACGATTTTTGCACATCTTAACCACCATTTGCTAACATCTATCAAGGTGGTCCACTCAAAACTTTCATTTATCTCTAAAGAGGATCTGGCTCTTTGGTTACAAGAGGTGTTGCTCCAAAACACCAAATGACCTGAAGTTGCTTTTCTCTTAATAAGTACAGCATATTGGGTAATTTCTATAATTTTCCTTATTGATTTTCACCAAGTTAAATAACCTCTTCACCTGTGTCTTACTAAGTTGATTCAGTGTTTGTGCAACACATTCAATAGTATAATGGTCATTAATGAATGATTAATTAACCAAAAACACATAATATCCAGAATCCAGAGCTTTATTTTTGTAAAGTCATGCATAGAGCAATGTTTCTTTTGACCCTCAGTATATTAAACCATTTCTAATTTACGTAGTTATGTAACCTTAGAGAACTTGTAATATTGTGTGTTTTTCTTCTGGATTTAATAGCTTTTTCAATCACACTTTAAAGGAGCGAAATACACCTCTTGTCTTATTTATGACATACTGTATATTCAGAAATGATGGTGACTGGCTCAATCAAAACAACTTCTTGATTCTACACACAAATATATGGGTGTGTTTTAAATAATGCAGCCTATGATGAACAAAGGTTCTCAGCATCAAGACAGCACGGTACGTTTTGGCAAGAGAACGCCAAAATGTTGTAATGGGCTTTGTTGCAAAGAGCTTTAATGCTATCATTTTTTGCCGTTTCTACTTAAAAATGTGCTTCAGATTAGTACATTCAAACTAGACTCTTGCTTATCCAGAAAAATGATTGATACAGCTGCATTGTTCATTTCATACTAGTAACCTAAAAGAAAAGAGGAGCTTTTGGAAGCTATACCTCCAATATTCTAAACACAATAAATACAGATCCTTAATGCAAGTCACAAAGTATGTTAAATGTTTAACTTGCATGGAGTTTGTTAGCAGTGGTTTCTTTCAAAATATGCAAGTCTTATGAATTAGGAATTTACCTCTATAAATCTTAGCACATTCATTTGCGTCTGACATATCTGTTTATTGACCTGCTTGCTATCACAACACATTGAATTGTTTTCTTTTCTTAAGTCTGAATTATTCTATAAATAACAAATTTAAAAGGCAATTAATTTCTAAGTAGAAATCCAATACTTTATAGAGTCTAAAGAACATGCAATAGTACAATGCTTAATTTATAATTCCTGTTGTTTTTTGGGAATTTGCCTTAAATGATTAAACTTAACTTTGTATAACTAAAATATTTGTTTAATGAAGACCTCTGTTTTAAGAACCTCAAAACTGATGAAAGCAAAGGTTTTTTTTCCTTACATTCACATCCTTTTGCCTACATTCTTTTATACCAGAAAGCACAACTATGTTTTAATCTAAGTTGTAAAAAAATAGGAATACATAGAAAAATGGAAATAAAACACATCACAAATTTCCATAGGAAAAATTTATTTATCAATATGCAATATCAGGTTTTCAAACTTGGCTCATGGAATTTAGATTCCATTATAACTGGTTATGTTGAATTGGGTAAAAGCTGTATTGTGAAAGGCAAAAATAATGAACAGACATTTATGGAGCAAATACAAAGAAACACAAATTCACTGGGCTTGCATACATGTACATTGAACATAATACTGTGTATTTAACATGAATAGAAATCAAATAACATATGGAGTGTTTCTGAGATTAGGGAAAGTGATCAACCAGTACATTACAGCAACGTTTATTCTACTGGGTGCGGTTTTATCAATGAATAACACTTTTCCAGCACAAAAAAGACATTCTGAATAGTTATAAAGTAATAAACACAAGGCCCTACACTTTTGATTCCCAAAAACATTTTCCAACGTCTTTTCAATTAAATGGACCACCATGGGTCACACAAGTTGAGCAGAGCTAAATGTTCCAGATGACAGCAAAGGAATCTCTCCGAGGTCAGGGCCGTTCATTGGAAAGAGCTTGTAATAATATTGTGGTAATCCAGAGGGTCAACAAGATCACCCTGTTGCTGGTGTGGGGGAGTAAGACTGCAGACCTGTGTACAACTCTGTTATTTTATTAATAAAGCCCTAGGCTTTGCAAAGCTTTTAGCTTCAGCCTGAATTAACCCTTGCCTAACTAAATCATCCCGGTTCCATTTGAAAATGAAAACTGTAATAAAGCTCTCAAGAGTCTCAGAGGTGTTCAGACCTGAAATTTTAACCAAAGAATATTAATAAGATGGTGTGAGATTCTGAATAAGAACCATTTTATCTAAAATGCATTAAGGAAACGAAGGACCTGTTTTATGGCGATGTACAGATATTAAAGATGTGCAACAGGTCATACATTTGCTGAAGCTAAATTTTGAAGTGGTAAGGTTACTTGCTAATAATTAGACTTTTCCTATGGCCCAAGGCAGCAGTTATTCTCCACTGGTTGTTCACTTACCCTAGAAAGGTTCACTACATTTTCAGGTGTTATAAAAGAGGGTAAAATTGTGTGAGAGCATTTCAGTTTCATAAAATGCTTGTAAAAATGTACTAAATGTTTCTTAACTTTGCTTCCCACTTGTCCCAAATAAAATTATTAAAAGCTGAACACGTCATTGAAATAAAAAATGAACCTTCTCTTTGTTGTAGTGAACCTTGCAAAACACAATGTTTTAAATTACTATACCTGGCACTTTAGATGTGTACAGTTGATGTTTTACACCCGTTCTAAGAGATTTTATTTTTTTGTATTATCTTTCCTTTTACTAACAAAAAGCGAACAAGAAAATAATTCAAAAGTTTATACAAAAAACTATTTACAAAAATTCTGCATTAAAAAAAATCTAATTTGATATTTTCATAAACGGGGTTCTAATAAATTTAACTTTTTTTTCACATATGTACATTGTTTTAATTTTACTGTTTCTGCCAGATTGCAAACTGAGCCATTTGCAATGCAAGCCAATTAACGAAAATAAAAAAACAAAAATAATAATGGAAAAAAATAAAACCACAAAAGTAACTATTAAATCTCATAGGGTATTTTTAAATTATCGTTAAAAGATTTTGTTTTCAGAAGACAAAATCTGTTTTGTCACAATAACAGCACAAGTGAGTGGTGTTTTTTTGTCATTTAATATCTGAAACATTTGGAGTTTACATGTTTTAGGCCTCAATAATTTGAGTGCTGTTTCCCAGATGTAAAGCCTCACTTTAGTTCTATGGCACTCCCTGAATACACTGTATTAATGAAAGGCATTTTTGTCAAAAACATTTAATGTGTACTCCAAGTTTCACAGAACAAGCACAGGGCGTGGCTGGACTACCTATCCTATACATTTTTTGTGATTTCTAACAGTATAAAAGACGTCAGTTCTTGTATATTTTTAAGACAGTTATTTCACACCCCAAGCTCTCACTCGCAGTACCACTCTAAGCTAGTCAAGTCAAACAGCTTGAACAAGTGATACTTCCATAGAGGTTTTCTTTGTTTTTCTCCCAAGCAAATGTGTTTCCACCTGACTGCTTGATTACTTTATGCTGAACATTTAAAAAACACCCTTCTATTTTTTCCCTAAAAACTGATTATATTACAATGTTTGATTGTTTTGCCTTTTAACCAAAAACATAAAGGTGATAAAAGTAATATATTTCACTGTGACTTATAAAACAATTTTCAGTCAAGAAGAGGAACCCAGACAACTAAAAAGGCATTTTAAGGAATTGCTGAACAAACACGTGGTACAGCATCATCTTGAGGTTTCTTGGATACTATATGGTGATTAGATAGTAACAAAACAGGGGCCATTTCTTTTGGAAGTAAGCAGATGGTCACAGAAAGAATAAAAAAAAGATTTTAACAGATGAAGCTTTACAACAGTGTAAAGTATGCATGATTACTGATTAAGTTAAATAACTTTGTATTGGAGGAAATTTGAAATATTCAGTGAAAAAAACCCAACTTAAACTTACACTTTAAACTCCAGTTCTGTATGTTCTTTCTTGTTTTTAATATTTTCTTTATGGTCAGGAAATCCACCATTTTGTGTACATACAGTATGAGCTTTCAGCTTCAACTGCTGACTTAAAAAGGTAAAAGACAAACTTAAAAAAGACAATATCAAGAAACGGGCTTTGTATATACAAAACTGATCAGGGAAAAACATCATTTTGGGAATTGAATTATAGCTTCTGTAATTCACATCTCATACTATATTCATATCCTTGTTAACATGAGTGTTTATTCTAAAAAGCCACTGCTTAAGGTATGTCTTTGTTTCCCCATCAACTAAAGAGCTAGGGAAAATTTCAGCTGGGGTGTATCTGCCAAACTATTTTTATTATCATCATTGAACTTGAAAACACTTTTATTTTCTGAGATGCACCTCACACATGTTCTGCATTTTGCAGCTGTATGTCTCACAGCTGTACACATACTTGATTGAGCCAGGTCTTTGCAAAGAAGGCCAATTCCCCAGTCAAAGTGTTCTGTATTGAAGTTGGCTGCGTTAGCTGACTTGGTGTGGGATGTGAGGATATCTGAATACAGATACACACCCTTATCAGCTATTACAGAGTATGAAGTGCAGACTGCCACAGAGTTACAAAAGAGGAGAATTGTGCAATGTGAAGTTCATACACTCCTTGTCACATGAATATCTAAACTAAGGCTAGAAACTAACACTGAACAAAACGAAGTCATGAATGAAACCTGGTCTCCGAATCTGTCTTCTGTCTGATAGCATCTTAATTGCTTCCACACTGTTTGCTGTCAAACAAATTTGATCTTGTTGTTCTTTCTCACCAAGAGGAATACTGGAGGCTAACTTTGGATCAGAGAGTTCAACAGGGTTGCCTCAGATTTCAGATAGCTTTCAGATAAAGAATGACTTGTGGACTTAGCAACATAACCTTTTTATTTTCAAGTCACTTCACAATTTAACCATAACCTCTTTTTCTTGACATGCCTTAATTAATAGCACCTAGTGACTTTTCAGCATAGACTGCTGGTTTTGTTTATCTTTCATTAATTGCAAAAAAGAAAAGGTAAGCACATTCTTGACTTTTTAAACTGTACTCTGCTTGCTTTCCTGTGTGAGCAGGACAAACACTTTGAAACATCAAAAAGTAGTAGCTGGTACGTTTAGCAGGATCAGGAACTGCCCAAACCACGCAAACTTTGCTTACTGCCACAGTTTTAACTATCACTTGTCAATGTATTTAGACAAAGCCCTCTCAATGTTCAATGTTCAAAACATTGTTTCTGGATGCTCCTCTATGTGGATGGGCATTCTGTGTGTCATTGTAAAATTAACAATTTTACATTATATAGTTTATAAACTACAAGAAAAAGTCTTACAAACAAAAAATTGTGAAAGGGAGAGATAACTGCACTAAAAGTAAGGTAAACAATGTGTTCTGAAGAGAAAGTGAATGCATTTGTATTATTTGTCACCGCACTGTGCCCTGTTACCTGAGCAATCTGTGAAGGCTTCGTCAGCTATGAAGTCCTTGCATGACAGATAGCCCATTATTTCAGGGTTTATTTATTTTTAAAATACCCTGTTCCTTCTTGACTCCTTAAGAGCAAGAACAAAGGCTACTTTGTTTCAAAGGCCTAATCATCTTAAGAGCCCACCCTTCTTCTTCCAAGGACTCAAACAGCAAAATATGGAGGATATGTGATTCTGAACAGTACTGTACATCCAAAGGATTACCAAGAAACAGGAGGAAGAGAAGATGAGACAGACCCACATAACCTGCCTTTGGCCTACTAAGAAAATCAAAAAGTCTTGACTACTGTATCCATGTAGACCTTCCCTGTTATCACTCACTCATTCCTTTTCCTTCTCTTCCTTGTGTCACTGTTGAAATATCAAAAGGTGTCTATCAACATCAGAAGGTCTAGGTAGTAAAAAGTAGGCCAGGATTCTCTAAAAACAAACATCCTAAATTTTCTTTAATATTTCCCTCACGGTCTTCACACTTTGTAATAGATGTTTGCTGGGCTCTGTGGTGGCATTTCCTGCACAATGTAGACCGGATGTCCGTAATCTCCGCTGACCTTCTCATAGTGAGGGCAGTAGTTATTTTCTGTAGTCCGTAAAGGGATGATAATGTCACTGGGCTCTGAACCAGCATTACCAGAGCATTTGGGGCTGGCAAGTGTGCTGAGAGACAGGGCCGCCGTTCTCTGCTGAGTGTGCTTCCTGTGCCGCTTTCTAATCTTTATCAGGAGGATGATGAGAAAGATGATGATCAGGAGGAAAATGACACAGCCTGCCCCAATAGCTGCAAAGAGTGCTGGCTTTGAGCCGAAGATTCCTTCATCTTTCTTTGAGTTGTTTTCTTGGTTAATAGTGTCTGCATGGAAAAGAGAAGCAATTAGTACCATACAAATGAGGTTAGAACTGTTTTGTGAATTAAGAAATTACCTTCAAATGGATCTGTACTTCTATGTTGTTCCAGAAAAGTAAAAGACAGCTATAATGTATTCCAAATAATAATCAGAAAAGTATTTTATTTACACTCACAGCTGTTGTTAAGAGCACCTTTATCATTTTTCTTGAATTCAGTTTACAGTCATTAGAGAGTCTTCCTTAATCTGACAAAAACTGGAGTTCCCAATCCCGTTCCCAAGGGCCTACATACCTGCAGGTTTACATTCCAGCTGAGCACTCAGATACATAATCGATCTAATAATAGGATTCATTTAAAATCTTAGTTTTTAGTCAGTAAACATTGGAACCTTTGGACAACCATTGTAAAAGTTTTAGTCAAGAAACTTGTTACTTCAGTTCACTAAAGATCCCAGCTGGAACAAAAACCAGCAGGTGTGGGTTCCCAGGATAGGGACTGGGAAGCCCTAGGCTAGACCATGCGCGGAGCTAGTGTGTAGGTGGTTAGGAGGAGATGTGTTTTAACATATTTCCTACATATTTCTGCGAATTCTAATAAATAAACAATATAGAGGGTTTGCACTGAGTATGTTAAGACACAAAAAGGTATATATGGGGTAAGGAACATCTTTAATGCATACTGCAGGCTATTGAAGGTAGACAAAATAGCTTTCATTAGATGCAGAGACTGAAGACTGATTCTAATTAAACTGACAGGCCCATTTCCTTGGTGGTCTTCTTTACATCCCCGTTTTCTCCACCATTTATACTTCAATGAGTCCTTGCACTGTGAATGTAATGACACCACGTCCAGCCCGGTACAATCCTATCACATTTAGGGATAAATTCCCACATAAATGACAGAAGGATGGACTACAAAGCTATCTCTGAAGAAAGTAAATCAAATCTAGAATTAAACAGTGTGCTCTATTGCAGAAAAAAAAAACAATACAAACTTTCTTGCAGTAGACAGATGGAAAGCAACACACTATTGATCTTACCGGTATATGAAACTATAAATTGGAATTCTTGTTGAAGGCAATGAAGCTTATCAGCTTGCTGTTCCAGCCTTTATTTTTAACTTGTCAAAACAAGTGAGCCAAATTAAAGTATGGTTTAGGAACTGCTGCATTTAGTTGTTGATACAGAATTTAACTTTTGCTAGACCAGCACTGCTATCATACTGCAGAAGCAGCTTGAACAGCATGGTTTTAATGAGTTAAAATTGAAATCAAGATAAGTTGAACTTTAAATGCATTGCGGCAGGCTTTGCAGCTCAATACATGCTTCAAATAAACCTTTTCAAATGAGATTGGTAAACCTCATTCAAGACAGAAAAATCTTAAACACAATGACGTTATAAACAGCGTTTGACTGGCTATATAAGGAATATACCTATTTTATTCCATATGATCCAACCGTAGTACTATTACATATTGTACATAGACGATATATGGAGGAATCAGACTGCTTTATTGCACTATACCTAATTCTTATTTATTATATTTCAATCTGGTTTTGATTGCACTGTCTGAGGCAGCCTGTTTTGTCTTTCTGGTAGGGGTAAGCACCTGTATCTCCCCTTCAAATGGCTAACTTTCCATAGCCTTGGTTTTGATGAGCCTATGTTATCAATCCTGTATTCAGTGCCTTTTCATTACTCTGACACTGACATTTTTAATAAATATTTACCATTCTGTGAATTCTTGCAGTAATGAACAGTATTGCTCACAAATTTGGGCTTGATATCCTAGGTGAATGTGAAAGTGTTGTGCACATTTGGCTGCAATTCAGTTCTGCACTGGGCAGACAGGCATGATAAACTGTCCACTTTTATTACATTCCACAGGCTAGAGAAGTGTGAGGAGCTTAGCCAGTTCGTACTTTACAGGTGGTTATGGCATGGTGCTATTTTTTTAACTAAAGCAAGAGAACTTAAAAGACAGAACAAAGCATAAAACACACACAAGTAAAATAACTGTCAAAGAATTACTGTTGAAAGGAAAATACACCGTGGGAGCCTTGGCACCATCTCAACTGGGAAGGGAATGTGCATTTTGCACATCTGATTTTATTTTGTTCCTCAGCAGGCATCGAGTTCTGAAGAAAAACTGACTTTCCAAACCTTTATAAACACTGACAGTTTTCTGCTTAGCCTGACAAAAAGTAGTCCTCTAGTGACTAAAACTCTAGCAAAATAAATACAAATTAATATGTCCAACATGGAGATGACTGAAATTCCCCTTTACTTGTCAGTCCTTGACTTGACTGATGTTAACAGTTTGATAATGTTATCCAGGGCATTATCACAGTATCACAGTTATGGTTTTAATTTTTCATTACCACACTTGAATAGCACGTCTATCTGCATTACCATTTGGCATAATTAAAAACTCAATACAAATGTGTCATAAAAGGAAGCTTGGTTACTTGGTTAAATGCTGAAGAAAGACGAAAAAAATCATCTGATGTGCTTCAAGTGTATATTACAATCAAATCAAGGCTTTTTTTAAATTGCATTGCTGTAACAGATGAACTCAGCTGTCTAAAGAAAGAGCCTGCAGTATGAAGATGAAAGGTTAAACTTTAAGCACTGAATAACTCTTCAAAAGAGGTATCAAAATCAGATAATAAAAAAATCATTCTCTCTTATTCAGATAAAATGTTCTATTAGTGAAGTTCTATTACTGAAAAAAATGCCAACAGTTTCTGTCTTTACGTGCTCATAAATGTTCACAGTCAAACCCGATCTTATCTATTTTAAATTCAAAAGAGCACGCTCAAATAAGTGCATAAAACATTGCCCAGGTTCTCTGAAAAAACACCTTTTATCTCAACTTGTCAAAGTCTTAACATGTCTGTTTCCTTCTTTAAGCACAGGCCATTATTAATTGCATCACAAAGAAACAAAAAAATGAACAACTTGTTGGTAAACCTTGCTAAAAGGTTTTAAGGATGAATAAATACATTTGACATGATAAAAATAAAACATTTAAGAAACAAATCAGTAAATGTCCACAGAAAAGGTTTTAAGGATGAATAAATACATTTGACATGATAAAAATACAACATTTAAGAAACAAATCAGTAAATGTCCACAGAAAAAATCAATAACGATAATGCACTATTTTAATAATGCACTGGTTTTTAAGAGGGACAACTGTTTTTTTAGATTTTTTTAGCCATTTTAGGTTTCTTTGTCACATCTGAGAACCTACTGTGCACACAACCTGGAAGTCTACTTAAACTCATATCCATGCCGAAACGATAAAAGCTGAAAGCAAGAATGACTGAGTATCAAGTTTCACACTTTTGTGTAAACTCTGAGCTCAGCAATTCCAGGACACACTCGTTACTATTATGTGCCATCAGAGTCCCAAATGTAGATTGCCTTAATATGGGCTGCAAAAAAAAAAAGATTGCTAAAAAAACTAAAATACTAGTTAAAAGAACAGAAACATTAGCAGTCTCCCAAAACACTTACCCTTATTGCCTTGTTCCCCAGGTACCTTATCTTTCATTCTTGTGGGACTGGTTGTTGAGTCTTTTCCTATGGTCTCCTCCTTCTTGCCTGGTTTATCTATAGGCCCTACATCTGGTATGACCATGTTTGGATCTGAAACAAAAAGTTAACCAACAAAACATCACTATACGTTACTTTGTTTATATATTTATACTTTCTCAATGAAAAAAACGTAAAAAAATACTAAGATATGGTAACATATCAAACACATTACAGCTGTCCGAAAGCACAGCTGTAACAAATTTGTGGTAGAACACATCTTCATTGTGAACCAATGTATCTGTAGCTTTGCTTTTCGAATAGTAGTAATACAACTTTGACAGTGCTTTGATTATAGCATATTTTTTACTTCATGAGTTAAATCCTTCTTTTTTTAGTTGACAGGCATGATAGCTTTTACTTTACTGTTTGGACTCTTGTATGCCTTCTCTACTAATCAATTACATTGACTTTTATCCTCATTTTAAGTATACAGTTGGTACTGGATGCCTTTTTTATATTGGCAATAGTCATCAAACTTAATCAAACACTAGATTATGATAATAAAGTGGTGATCAAGATTGAATGCGATTCTCCTAGATTTGTTTTTTAGCAACCTGTGCATAAAATATCATCATCATATTTGCTTATTAATGTTACTAGGTATCAAGAAACCTTTGGGATATAGTATGCCATTTTGATAAAAATGATTAAAGACATTAGCAAAATAATGTAATCATATCATGCATACTGATCATTAAATTATGTTTTTTATAATTTGTACCTCAGGAGAACATTGAAACCCAGAGAAAATGGTTTTATTTAATTTTTGCCATAAAAATAGAAGGATATATTAAATAATGTGCTGAGTATGTACTTCCCCATCCACTTAATTCCATGCATGACATTTAAGATCACACAAAATGTTCTTTAATTGAAGCTCTTGTTGCCAATGTAATGTCAATTCGATGAAGAATTTAGTTGTACCTTGGGATTTTCAATTCAAGAAACCACAGTAGCAATTTTTCCAAACACATAAAGGACTGTCTGCTAGGGGCAATACACAATATTGAGCCCATGTGCTCCCATTTATATGTTTTCTTTTTTGTTTGTCTATATTCTGTTATATTTCTTTTAAATCCTGGGTCCAAAAGCAATTCATGTGGAAACAACATGTTTGTTTGTGGAAAGTTCAAATGCCGTCGTTCTCAAACCAAAAAAATTACAAATATGTTTTGATTTTTTAACTGTTGTTCTCTGATAATGAAAGAGAATCGGTGGCCACTAATAGCACATAATCAACCAAAATAATAAAGAACCAGTACACATCTTATGAGCTGTAATTTTATAAATTAAGTTTTGAAGCATTCCGGATTCCATTTAGAAGACTGAGAGAACCCGCAAAGACTTTTCTGTTCCAATGTGTCAATTAGTGCACATCCACAGAGCAAAGCTTTTATTTTGTGAAGGTACAGAGTGTACTGTGCAAAACGGCAAGAAAGGCCATTACTTAAACAGAAATCAACTAAAAGAATCCAGGTTTTGGAATGTAAAAATATACAAACTGTTAATGCTTTCTCTTTCTTATTTCATGATTAAAGATAAGTCTAAGGTATGTTGTGATGATTATGTGTAATTACAAAGAATATAATTTATAACTCTATTATTGGAGAGCATTCCAATGTAATATAAAATTATTTCTCACAGGAACTATGTAACGATGTCTTGTTTCAGCCACATTTTGTGTAATTGTTAAAGACATACTGCTTGTTTAAGGGTAAATTTTACTTATAGTGGGGCTGTTTGACATGGCCCTGAGTGTTAGCGGGAAATTAAAGATTCTAATATTATACAGTATATTAGAATGTATAGACAAATTCATGCACCTAAAAGAATATTAACCCACACCTCTGTAATCTGGCAAAAAACAAGCTCGGATAAGTTTCCAAAGTATATGAAAAAATCCTGCAGAGAACTCAAAGGTCCTTGCTAGTATACTCCACAGCCGAAACATTGTGTTTTCTTTCTTCTCTTTTCAGCATGAAATAAACCTATTTTTTGTTCTTTATACATCTATTTTATTAAACATATTTTACTCTCCAAATTTAGGAGGGTTTTTTTTAGATATCCACACCAATGTTTAATTCCAACAGTATTTTCCTATTATGTCATTTTTTACTGGTTTGAGATCTCATTACATTATCCCTGTGATTGTTATCTGTGCTATCAAACTAGGCAGATAGTTCATTTCTTGAACCTTATTAGCCAGGTAATGGTCCACTTCAGAGTTATTAACGTTAGTGTAAAATTACACTTTTTAAGTCTTCTTCAGATAGTTTTAAACTAATACTATGTTTAGTTCACAGTGGCTTTCAATAGGTGTTATTTAAACACTTTCTTTACAGTTTCTTTTTTGAAGAGGAACAGTTACTATTATTGAATTATGAAACCAATACAAATTTTTCATTTTTTTTTGTTTTGCTCTCATATCTCTGTGGGTGTGATAACAAAAACTTACTATGATGAATGTTTACAAATAGATTAATTTTGACAATTCCAATAGAATTAATTATGGATTATTCTATTGAGAGAGCCATTTAAAGCTTCAAATTTCTAACACTTTATTTTTATAAAACGACATAATTTAAACTAAAAGGATATCTTCTTCCTATCAAACTAAAAATGAAGCACAGCTGATCTTCACCAGTTTATTATTTCCCTTCAATTCCCAGCATAAGGTAACGCATAAAATGTGCTAAAAAAGTTTGGAAGCAAGCACTTGCCATGCATTAGTATTTATCCAATGTGTGAAATGGGCAGACACACTGAGATAATAATTACCTTGCTATGATATAAAAGTAAATCTAAAGTGCCCAGGTTATCAGTCCTAATCTAAAAACTCAGAATGTTATCTGCTATTCTTTTCTAAGGTCAGGTAAGATGTGTGGGTCGTTTTAGTCACTCTTTCTTATTTGTTTGTTCGGGTCGCCCCTTAAATGAAAATGGGTCTGACTCAAGTCAGTGGAATGTCAGAATAGCCCTGAGATTCCAATTCCTCTCACAGCATTTGGCCAGGCTCAATCTCTTGAAACTGAAGGTCAACCTGAGATGCTGGCAGGGATTAAGGACAGGGCAAAGACTTGCTGAGTGAAGACATCTTCTGGGAGGTGTTTATATATATGACATCTGGTGAAGAACTAAAGGAGAAATCCTAGGCTGTTTTTTTCTTCTATTTTTGCTCACAAACTGTTGTCACATATTTTATAACCTAATCTGGTAAATACTGTTTGCTTTCAGGAGATGGAATAATAAGATTAAAAGAAAATATTTATTAATCTGTGTTGGACATGTAGTGTTACTGACAGTATCATCTGCCCAGAAATTACATAACAGAGAGGAATTAGATCACAAAAACTGGTTCAGGCTAAGCCACTCTGTGTAACATCTCCTGATCCACACACTTTTCACCATCATCTTCTGCTGCTGAAAAGTATGATGCTGATGCTCAAACACCAAAATGAATAATGGTTTTCACATTTCTGTGGGAAGAGCAAGACTTTCTACATAGCAGAGTGGTGTTTCAGTGACCCTATCCTCTTAGCTGTGTTTTAATACTTTAACATTCAGAACAATTAAAACATACCCTTTAGTACCTTATAAATCATGAAGGCGCCAAGGAACAAGAGCTTAGCAAGTGAAATACTGTATATAGCACTGTGGATCTTTTTTTTAACACTAAATAACTTTCACCTTAAAGGTTTGTTGGAAGAATGACCTTTATGAAGATGTTTATCCCCAGCGGCCCATGTTTTCTTGAAACAAATATCCATATAATAAATTACTGGAAGATAAATAAGTATTTTCTCCCTTCTAGGTTAAAAATAGAGTAAAGGGTAATGTCTGAAGCCCACAGTTTATGAGATATGATGTCAGTCACTGGGCTAGTTTCCATATGCTAAGAGTGGCTGCTCTGAGTTTGTTCCATAAATTCCATGGCCAGGGGCATTTCAGTGGATGAACAATAGCTTATGAAATGCTCTGCTTACACTTGACTCATGACTGTCACTCCACAAAGCTTTCATTATCTTTCACCATTTTTATTCTGCCTGGATCTAATATATCACTCATAGTTCAAGCATATTTCACTTTTTTATTTCAGTAAAAAAAAATCTCTCTTAAGGTTATTTGTTAAAAATGATCAAGTCGATCTGAAAAGACGTACCCTCTTAATTTGTGATCAAGATTTTAATTTGAACTACATTCAATATTGATGACATAAGTTCATCAATGCCTCTTTCAGACAGCTTAAGATGTACAATAACTTACTACCTATAACTTACATAGTTATTAAAAAGGAACTTTCTGGCATAGATTGTACAAATGATAATGTGTCTACTCGAAAAAGTAAATCATGTTGTAGTCTACAGTTTATAGCTGTAGATCATCATCATAGCCAAAAAATGACAACCCAAGCATTGATTTACGTAGTGGCTATGGTCTCTTATTGTTGAAAATTACAGGGTCCTGTGACTTTCTCATTCATTACACCACTTCTATCAACCCAGACAACTATTTTGATATTAACAAGAATAATAAGTACATGAAATTGACTTACCCTGTCCAACTTTCATGATAATCTTCATTGAACGAGTGTTACAGACGCCACCTTCCCTGTTTTCAAGCCCTTCAAGGGTTCCATTGGATGTGGCTGTAACAAAATATATTATCCTCATATCAGTGACTGCTTATAGAAGTTATTACAACCATAGATCAATACTGTGAGTTATAGAATACATTACCAATGAAGAAGGAAAAGAGAAACATTAGATTGATTGTTATAAAAGGCTATAACAGCAGTTCTTGTAAACCAACATTTATAGAAGTCGCTTTGAATCCATTTTTCACTAAACACAATTTAACCAACTCTCTGCTAAAGCCTCTCAGGAAACATTTATTTAATAAGTTAAATCTGCCTGCTTTTTCTGCAGGTGGCTTTCATCAACCCACGCTGGCACTGAGGTTTCACTGTCAAGAATTTTAGAGTGAAACTGGAATAAAAGACAAGTTTTTATACACGTTTAAAGGCAGAGAAATAGCAAACATGAACGATAAAAAGTATACAAAGGCCTCTCAGCTTACAAAGAAATTGCTTCTGATTGTAATCTTATCCCATGGGAATGTGGCAACTTTAGAACTGTTGTTGAAATTAGGCTTTTGGGGAATGAGGTGTATATGTGGCGCAGCTCCTCATTTTCTGTTTGGTAATCACTTTTTTCTCCACTCAAAGCTTAAACTGGGGTTTTGTTCTTCTCCTTTGCTCAAGGAATTTACAAAGCATTTGGCAAGGCAAATTATGCCAGCAACAATTATAGCGAGCTGCAAATGCCTGGAGCTTAACTTTCTCTTTCTGAATGCCCTGTAATTAGCGACTGGGTGGCACAGTAGGCTAAAACCCTTATCTTGGGGGGCTTGTCTTCAAATCAGGCTCTATTGAAGAGGGAGAAGGGCCTGCTACTCTCCTGTCAGCTCTGCCTCATGAAAGCTCAAGTCACAGACAATGTGGCACAACCAGCAGGCTATTCTGAGCTGCAAAAAAATGACCTAGATTGAATAAGTATTGGGGTTTAAATAATACGCTCAACTCCAGACATGAGGGGCGTCTCCACGCCAGCAAGAGCCGCAGCTCATTCGCTCTCTTCTTTTCAGGCAAGCTCCATGGGTATTTTCACCTCCAACCCCTTCGTTTTCCCATCCTTTTTTTTTCTTCCTGCACTCGAAGACCGTGTGCCTTATTAACTTGTCCAGATTCCACCCCCATTAAGATGTCGTGACTGAGTACTCATTTAGGAAAGTGGTCAACTAATTAGATCCTACTCCATGAGAATCAAAGCTCTCTCTTTGCAGCTGTAGCACAATGGCAGGGAACTATGAGAACAAAACTCTGTGCAGAGGGAGAGGTATCAGAGAAGATAAGTGGCTGGAATCTCCACTTCTGAGGCTAGCAGAATAGACCACTTGTTAACCTTGTGTTTCTTTTTATTTATTTTTCCCTGTATGCACCCCCAACTCCCAGAGTTCCTCATTCTGGGCTCTTATTTAATGAAGCTTTCAGAAACATATATTACAAAACAATGCCTTTGAAGAACAAGTGCATTTTATGCCTGCTTTTATACCACTGAAAATAAAGATATTAAAAGATAGATTTTGCACCTCTGAAGACTGTGCATTCTGAAGAAGAACACCATGAATGTGCTGCTGTTTAGGCTTTTAAATATAGTTCATCTAATATTCTTATTCTATATATTTTTTCTGGACAACTTTAATTCTATTATATTTTGTTTTCATGAAAAATACACAATTTATGACTTTGAAATTTAAAACACAAATGCAATTCAAGAATAAAAACACTGTGATTAAATAACAGCACATATGGGGATTTGTGGCTGACAGGATTGTACTGCTGTGAAATGTAAAAACTTCAGAAAAGTCTGTTGTTGTTTTCTGCTATCTCTCACTGGATTTTGTATGTCTACAAACAGGCATTAAATGTAACAAATCATTATTGGAACCAATAGTATTCAGTATATAAACAAAAATCCAAATACATTATCTGAAATATACATATTATGTTGCTATGTTGTGACTTTGTATGTTAGAAATATCGCCATCTACAACGACTTTTAATTTTGTACATAGTCAATTAATTTGTGTGTGTATATTCTAAATCACAAATTTTCTCGGATGAACCTAACAAATTATGATTATATAAAGAGGACTTTTTCTATCTGCCAGCAACACTTTTCATCCTGTTTAAAAACACTAGAAGTATCTGATTTGAGAATCTACATTGCAGTCTGGTTTACGTAAATCTCCAACCAAAATAGATTTTTACTTTGAGGACCTTATCCACAACCTAATCATAATGAACATAAGGCTTGTTTGCCCCTACTTGTCCCCAAATTGGTTAAAAAAGTGAATTTGTTCCAGGATTGAAAATTGCCAGAAAGCAGACTCCCTGTCTGCTGCTTGAACTGTGAACATAAATATTCTTCTGGTGTGGTTTTAATTCAAACGTGTTATTTTGGATGGTGATCAAAGTGTGAATAGTAGCTAACTATTTATTGTGGGAGGTGTCTGTAATGTTTTGGAAACAGGAAGCTCCTGGAACAGGCACTTCCTCACTTCACAATGGGGGGTAATAAACAAAAGACCAAACTTCGCCAATGTTGGTAGCCTCCAAGGATGTCACAAGATACCTCACCTAGTCTATATTCAGTACCTTTTATGGAAGTTTCTCAAAACATGAATATCTGGTCCTGTGAGTGTGTGAAAAGCTATCAAATGCAGAACCCAGAAGAACCTCAGTTGGCTGAATAAGTCTTAACCATATATCCCTGGATACCAGGAGCCTTGGAAAAACGTATTTTGACCGTTCTCATTTTGTTTCAAGGTTTATAGATGCAAACATCCTGACTAACTGGAAAGGCACATAAAATGTCAAATGATCCACATTGAAGCAATGAGCTCACTTCATTCAGGATCACCTGAATGACCTAGTTTTCAAAGACAGAAAAGTAAATATAGAACAGGACTCAGACAGCTGTATGTCTCCAGCAAGTTCTTCACTCTTGTGGATTGCAATGTGACTGCAATTCGCAATGCAAAAGACAAGTCGAAAAGGGAGGACTAAATCAATGTTAGATTAAAGTAAAAGTGACCTTCACTTGTCTGAAGAAGCCGTAAAAGCAAAATTAAAGACTACATTCATTAGCATATTCTATTCGCCATCAAACTCTTGCATACTTTAAGATGGATCCATTGAAATAATCTCTGCTATTTCCCCTCTGTAAATGGATATAAAATAATAAGGCATAATTCACTCTCTCTTTGTGCGATTGTTTTCCATTTCATCATTGTTAAACGGGGAACACACGTGCAGAAAGTGATGAATAGAATGAGATCTTTTATTATTTTATGGCATCCACCAAAAAACAAAAATCAATAGCTGAGAGCAATTACCCACAGAACAAATCATGTTTCAGTTTGCCCAATGGATCCTTAACGGTCTATTAGCAGACAGGCGGGTGTTGAGTGGGAGTGGGTCTGCTGCCTGAATGATGTCACCACTATTAAGATGCATCGTTCTGGGAAAAGTGCCAGGCTCTGGCCGAGCTGCCATGCACAAAAGTGAGAGCGGCACGGTACTAGAAAGCAGCAGGACAATTCAAGATGACTCTATTCAATCAGGCCTCTGTATACACAGGGACCTAGAAGCCTCGTGGTTTTTTTCTGCTCTCATTAATTAGACATCTTCAATCCAAAGACATAAAAGGAATTTCCTGTCTATTTTAAAAGAAGACAAGCAAGGGCGAACAAGCCTATGTTACTAATCAACAATTTAATCTCATTTCTCAATTCGCATTCTGCTTTACTTTATCATGTCTTTTGTGTATGCACTTGCATTTTAGCACAAGTCTATAACCAACTTGTATCCCAGAGACTGTTCTTCAATTTATAAAACAATGCTAAAAGGAAATACTAAATCTTTAATTTTGAATTTAAAAACTCTTGTAAAATGTGTATTCTGTCAACCTAATGATACGGTAATAGAGGAAAGGAAGCATACCAGTCTTCGCTAAGCTCAGACATTCCTCCCTACCACCACAAAGGGCAGCTTTGAACCAGCAACCATCTTTGACACAGGATATGAAACAAGTCTAAGGAGAAATTCAGTAGTGTCCCATCTCTCCACGCCTGCCGTAACTGGCTGTGCAGCAAATATAAAGAGGATCCCGTTTCAAAAACAACAAGGGCCGAGGCTCTAAGATAGGCGCTTGCTGCTAGCCTCTGCCTGGGTAACACTGAGCTCTTTTGTTCACCTAGATAAACAGCAACTTTGACATACCTAACAACCACATGCACAGCTGAAGTCCAGGGCCTCAACTTCCCATTAGCTATTGTTTCAAAAGAAAACTCAGACTCAAATGCAGTTCTTGTGAGAAGCAGCAGATGCTATAAACAGGGCTTTAACAGATAGATGTCTGAATACTTCTTTTCAATTTGATTTTTGGGGAGATCTGTGTACTGTATTTTTGTAATAGAAAGAGAAGAGTATTACAGGTTAATGTAGTGTGTAGTATCCTTTACAAGGATTGAGTTAAACCATGCAATTTATGGATAATCCAGTAAGGCTGCAGCACACTTTATAGTGTATTAATGTTGCAAAAAGCAATTCTAATCCTATATGCGCTTTACTACGTTTTTATGGGAGACAAAAACAAGGTTTAGGATTAGGATAATCATATTCAAAATTACGTTCAAAAATATTTTTATGGCTTTTTTATAAACCAAGTATCCTAATTATTACAAAATAAATGACATTTTAATACGGAATCTACATTTTGACTGATGTGTTATTTTCCTCTCGTATGTTAATGCAGATACAGTACCTTGGGGGAAAGGCAAACTGTCTTTTGTTTTCATTGTTGCTTTGGTATAAAAATACATCCTTCCACGAAGATTGTTTTAAGGTTTAAAATTTCTTCACCATCTGCTTTGGGTTGGAATTTTAATTCTACCCTTTAACCCAGTCCTATGCAATGTGGCCCCAGGGTGCAACATGTTGAGGGAAGTGTGTTTCTAAGACACAGGCAGTGTTATTAGGTGTCAAGCATAAAAAACAACCAGGTTATCTATGTGTTGTTCATT